GTAAGTGCTCTACCACTGAGCTACATTCCCAGCCCTAGGTGCCAGAGTCTTGCTAAGAGTTTTATACACGTTACTAGATTAATGTTAACAAAAATCTATGTGAACCTAAAGTTCACACTATGATCAGTTTCTATTTTCGGGCCCATTTTACAGATGAAAAACCTAGGTTCAGAGAAATTGGGAGACTTATCTAACTCACACAGCCAGGCAACTCTAAGGCCAATTTGTGTTCCCCAACTGGAGTTCCAGCATAGTCTAACTTTCCCACTCTCTCCCAAATTTCACTTGCCCTACCCTGACCCCGTCCTTCACTGGAGTTCCCCAGTATCCCCTGTTAGCTGATCTAGCTGACGTTGCTTACCCAGGCACCAGATCTCTCTGGGCTTGAGTAAGGGTGGTGCTACTATTTGTTTAGAGGGTGCGGGGCGGAGGGGGGGGGCGGTAGCTTGTGTCAGAGCATACTTATCCAGGCAATGGGAAGAGTGGGAGCCCCACCCAGGGAGGTACCCATTGCTCTGCCCTGGAGTAACCTCAGGGAGTGGCATTTGCCCACTCTCCAGCCCCAGTGCCTCTTGGGAAAGGTGAGGGTACTGACTTGCCTGCACTACCCGCCTCCCCCAGGGATAGAGCAATTGGAGGAATGCCATGCTGGGTGTGCATTGAGGCTGGGGTAGATCCTGACTTGGATGAGCCTGGAGAGAAGGCTCTCCCTCTCACCTCCTGACCCCAGCTGGAGCTGAGCTGGAGGGGGAGCGAGGAAGAAGGCCTAATTGGGGCGTCAGGAGTTGGAGGCTGGAACCAGGCCAGCCCTTCTCCCAGGCTCCCTGGGGCCCATTTCAAGTGGTTGCTTCCAGGCTGGGCCAGCCCAGGGATGGGGAGCGGGAACAGGGAGCCTCTTTCCAAGCAAGAGTTCAAGGGTCTCCTTTCCTAGGCCCGTGCCCCCTTGCTCAGGGCAGCCAGTGCTTCTGCCCTGTCAGTCTTGGTGTTTACTCCTTTTCCGGGACCAAAGCTGAGTAGAGGGGCCCAAGTTTCTGGAGACTTTATGTGGGCTACCACTGCCCCATCTTGAGGAAGCTCTTGTTCCTGGAGTGGAGACAGATGGAGACCCAAGAGACCAGAGTCCTTCAGTCTTAAGATTTTGATCACTGGCGTGGCTGGAGGATTGAGCCTGCTGTGACTATTCTCCAGTAGCCTTCCCATTCACTCATGATTCTTCAGTTGGGGTGGGGGGTTTCTTGTGGTAGTAGGGATGGAGGTGTCCTCTGGTTTCTAATCTTCTTGCACTCATTAAGATTGATGTAGAATCAGAGCCTAAGGGCATCTTATCATGATCACACGGATTGTCCCTTGAACCATATCTGTGCTTTGGCTCTCCATCTATAGGCCAAACATTCTCTCTGTGATCTCTGCCTCTTCTACTTTACGATGAGGAAAGGCAGGTTGCCAGGAAGGAGAGAGGGGAGAATCTTTTAAGGTAAATCACATTAGTACACCTGCTTCAAAAATTGGTCATCTCTCTGTGCCTCAGTTTCTTCACCTGTAGATTGGGAGAAATGACACATACTTCCTTGGCTTGTGGTAATGGCTAAATATGATGGTGGAGAGTGTCTAGCATTGTGTTGGCACACTGCAAGTGCTGAGTAAATATTAGAAATGATCAGCCAGAGTGGGGTGTAACCTGGGGTGTAGGGAGGGCATAGGCTTTGGGGGAGATGCTCTCCTTGCATGTCTTTAATTTTCCTCCCTCCCACATCTTCCACCCCACACTCTGTGACAAGTCCAGGCAGAAGCCTTCAACTTGACATTCCCCTCTCTGAAAAGCTCTTTACAAGACTGGAGAACACTGGTGTGCTGGAGAACATTAGTGTGCTGGCTGGGGGATGTGTGTGTTTCTACATCCCTGTTTTGAAAAAGGAGTTATTTGGACATCAGCCAGGCTGTGTGTATATGCAAGTGAGTATGCATGTGTGCATGTGTGTGTGTGTGTGTTCAGGCTGTGGCTGGCACCAAAATACTTGCTGATTAATCTTTGTCTTCATGCACCCGGCTATGGTCCCTGGGAAGCTCCAGGGCCTGAGCTGGTGTCCAATGGGCCTGAGGGGCCAGAATCAGGCCCAGGAAGATGGATTTCCCTGTCCCCTCGGCCCGCACCCAACAGAGAAGGGGGGACGGCTGCTTCATTATGTTTAATGGGATTATTGGGGGGGATAGTAGTCATGGGGCATTAGCTGCTAATTGGGTCCATAATAAAGTTAATAAAGCTCTTATGGTCTTTGCCATTAAGTATAATTAAGGGGGTGCTCTGTGGCAAGGAGGGAGGTGTTGGCGGGGAATGGGCACTGGGCTCTGGCTGGCAGGAAGGAGCCAGAACAGGAGCAGGTGATGGGGAAGCTGGCGGCCATGCCAAGGCTGGGAACTGCAGTGGCTTCTGGAGCCCACCCCTGGCTGGAGTCCTTACCAAGTCCTTTGGGGAATGGAGGAAAGGAAGTGGACAGGAATGGAAGGAGATTCACTATGTGCTGTTCATAAGAGTCTAGGAGTAGGAGAAAGAATATTAACTCCAGTCCAGAAGCCCAAACCCTTGAAGAGCCTCAGAACATGGAAGAAATGTCATTTCTGAGGAGAGCAGGCATGGACAGAAAAAGCATGGCTCTGGCTTGTGTTCGCTGTGTGAGCCTGAGGAAGCTGCAGAACCTCTCTTGTCTCAGTTTCCCCTTTTGTAACATAAGAGTAATAGCATGGTCATAAGGATGTGCCTATGGTAGGAAAAAAAAGGCAAGTCTTATTCTTTTTGTCAACTTTATTTTATTTTGCAATTATATAAGGCATACTTTATGAAGTCTTCCTGTATGTACAGAATCCTAAAAAGTAACTCTCCCATCCCTGTGTTAGAGGTGGTAGTTATTCTTCCAGAGTTTTAATTTTTAGTTCCAGAGTTTCTCTGTATATAGATAAGAAGAAAAACATATAATTTTGTTTTGTTTCTCTTTCTTTCATAGATGGAATAGTATTTTTGTCCTTTTTTACAATTTGCTTTTTCTCTTACATTTTTCTTTGTGATCATTCCATGCCAGTGCCTGTAGATCCCCTTCATGATGCCTGGATGCTCAGTATTTTTTAAAATTATGGCACTGGGGATTGAACCCAGGGTGCTTTGCCACTGAAATATATCCCTAGCACTTTTTATTTTTTATTTTGAGACAGGGTCTCACTAAGTTCCTGAGGTTGGCTTGGAATTTGCCGTCCTCCTGCCTCAGCCTCCTGAGCCGTTGGGATTACAGGCATGCACCACCACATCTTGTGAGACCATTCTTATGTTATTTTTGTATACTTATTTATTTCCATGAGCTAGAGTTCTGGAAACTGAATAGTTGAGTTGAGGATATATAATTTTATTTTTGAATGTATAATAAATTTTTGTTTTTGAAAGATAAAATATAAGTACAATAATGTAATAGTAGAACTTTGTCTCCCTTCTACTCTAAGCCCTCAGTTCCTCTTCCCTTAGGCTACCATTGTTACTTCATTTTTTTCAAACATATTTGGGGACTGGGATATGGCTCAGTGGTGGAGATTTGCCCACTGTGTGAATAGCCCTGGGTTCCATCCTCAGCACTGCAAAACAAAATATGTATATTTTTGAAAAAATTTTGAATGCTTATTTGCATATTTTCCTTCTCCATCCCCTCAAATGGTGGCATATTGTATTCTCATCTTTTGGATTTTCTTTTTCTTTTTTTTTTTTTTTTGGTACTAGAGATTGAACTAAGGGGTGCTCTAGCACTGAGCTATGCCCCCCAGCCCTTATTTTTTATTTTGAGATAGGACCTTAGTAAGTTGCCCTGGCTGGCCTCGAACCTGTGATCCTCCTACCTCAGCTTCCTGAGCCACTGGGATCACAGGCATACGCTGCTGCACCCAGCTGCACATTGTTTTTTGTTTTTTTTTTTTCCTCTCTTTTTTTAAAGATAGACGTTTCTGTTTAATTTAACTGAAGTAGGAGAAAACCACATTACTAAATTTATATCAGTCTAATTAATAGTTTAATACAGATTTTTATTTGTTTTGATTAGTTATACATGACAGTAGAATGCATCACATTGTTCTTTTGATTGCCTAGGTAGTGTTCCATTGTATGACTACTTTTTGGTTATGGAGTTTAACCCCTAGCTGAAAACCTAGATTATTTCTAATCTTGAGTTTCTACAATGCTTCAAGAAATACTCTTGTATATTTTTTTTTACCCTTGTACTTTTTTTAATATTTATTTTTTAGTTGTAGTTGTCAATACCTTTATTTTATTTATTTATTTTTATGTGGTGCTGAGGATTGAACCCAGGTCCTTGCATAGGCTAGGCGAGCACTCTACCGCTGAGCCACTACCCCAGCCCATACCCTTGTACTTTGAGCACAAATGAAGGACCTATATAGACACATTCCTAGATGTGCAATTCCTGGGTCAAATGTGTTCATTAAAAAATTTTTGATAGAAATGGCCAGATTACACATTAAGATGGTTGTACTGGAGGCTAAGGGCTTGCCTAACCTGCATGAAGCCCGATGTTCTATCATCAGTCCTGTAAAAAACAACCAAAAAACCCTGGAAAAAAAACAAAGATTGTACCAATCTGTCTGTGGAGCCCTGTAGGTATAGAGGCTGCTTTCTGTATGCTTAGCTATTGCCACGTGCATTGTGATCTGGCACACTCCTGGACAACAAAGGTTCTTCAGTGTTCCCTGGCAGTCACTGGGACTGGAGTCTCAAGCAAAGCACTTGGACAGGGAACATAGCTTCCCCCAGGAGAGGCAGGAGAAGGAGGGGAAAGAAGTAAGCCCTTCCCTCTTCACTGAAAAAGCCACCAACTTTAAATGGGTAAACACAGTTGTCAGAGGGGAGGGAGAGTTACAGTCAGGGTCAGGGGTTAATGCGGATGGAGCTACTGGGACATGCTGCACAAAGCAAACAAAACAAGTTGGGAGAGGGGGAGGGGCCGCCCTCTGGGGGGGCTGGACACACAGGCCAGCTTGGGCTTGGCTCTTCCCTGGGCAGCTGCCATCATGGGCACAGGCTCTGCTCTGAATGAGGACCTTGTGACCAGACTGCCAAGGGGCAGCTTTCTTCCTCCCCAAACCTCCTCAACCCAGAACCAGCAGGGTGGGCCTGCGGAACAACCCCTGCAGCACCTCCAGGGCTCCTCTCAGGTAATCCCCCGGCAGCCCGTCTGGAGGCTTTGTGAGCTATTAGAGGTGAGCCAGGCGGTCGCCTGGAGCCAGGCACACAGCTTTTAGAGCATTCCTGGGCATTAGGCCCCTGTTCCAGCCCAGCCTAGCCTGTACCCTATTGAGCCCTGGGGCTTCTCTGCTGCAGCCGCTCCTGGCCTAATTACAGGTGTCTATGTCGGGGTCAGTGGCAGGGTTAATTTGGGGCTTGTCCTGGGGTGGCCAGGGCTCATTAATGGAGTCCCAAGGAGTCCACAGGATGAACCTTGCAAAAAGGGGATTAGAGGCTGAGGAAGACTGTTGGAAAGGCTGGGTTAGTCATGGCGGGGAGGACCTGAGGCTGTGGTCAATCTCAAAAGTAGTTCACACTCACCCAGCGTTGCTCACAGACACAGCAGGGACTCAGACACTTGCCAGAGGCACACATGCACATTCATACTCATACACACTCACACAGAGCCACACACCAGAGGACTTAGAATTGCTTCTCATACAGCTTCATGGTGCACGACAACTGGTGTTAGGGGGCAGATGACCCAGAAACCTCCAGCCAGAAACTCAGGCCTGCTCCTGCCAGGCTTCTCCTGGGCCCCACCAGGCTCTGGCCAGGGAGATGATGCTCCCTTCAACTTTTCTTTCAGCACCTCCTCACACCCCAGCACTAGAATTCTGAAGCATTTTTTCTGAGGGTAGAATGGTTTAGAGCAAGCTCCCAGTCCGCCTGGGAGAATGAGGGGCTGTTCCCCTACATCACAGAGTCTAGCCTAGCCCAGAGAGTCTCTGAGTCCAGTTGTCAGCTCAACTCCCAGAAAAACCCCTGTGCCTCATGACAACCCTTGAATTCTAAGGGAATGCAGGGCCACACTGCCCAGAGGTCACAAAGGAGGAGGAAGAGGAAGAGGAGGAAGGAGCTGACAGGAGCCAGGGCTGGAAGGGGCTGAGCTGGGGGAAATCACTTAAACCTAAAGCCGCCACTGGTCTTTGGAACCACCAGCACTGATGGGGGCCAGCTGGAGCTGGCTGAGAGGACAGAGAGGCCCAAGTGTGGGAATGAAGGGAGTGGGGCCTCCCAGGGCTTCCTGGGTCAGCTGGGAGGAGAGTACCAGGAGCCTTCTTCTCCAGCCTGTCCCCAGCCACCATCCCTCCCTAGGGCATGGAGACAGGGCCTGGCTCCCTGGCTCTATTGCTGACACAGAACTTTTTTCCAATATTAACCATTCCCCCCAAGTGGGCTGGCTGGTGTCACTTCATTCCTAAACTGGTGGTGGCTACATGGGACAGGCAGGTGGGCGGTGAGACAGTCAGATTTTTCCCAAGGATGCCTTCTTCCATCTGTGAACCCTTCCCAAGGCACCCCCTTGACTATTTAGAAGTGACCCTGGGGCAAAGTGATTCCTATTACAAAAACAGGCACTAGTCCATCCCGTGAATGTAATTTCTCATCAGTAAAGGTACCCTCAGGGCCAGGCTGCCACCTGTTGTCACCTCACCCTAGGTCCTAGGCATCCAGCATTCCCTCCTTGTGTTCCCAGTCTTCCCCATGCCATCCCAGGACCCCCCACATACTCCAGGCCCGTAATTGAATATTAAGGCCCAGAAGCCAGTGCAAACAGCAGCATTAATCACCAGCAACCTGGCAGCCTCCTGCCATAGATCTTTCTCACACGTAAAATAGCTCATGTTAATCATTGCTGCTGATTTATTGTCTTCTCTGCCTTGTACATAAATTATTCACTATTGCCAGACTGCTTGGAGGATCCTGTAATGAGCACTTCTGTCCTCCCGTCTCTGAGGTGTATCTTCAGACCTCTGTGTCTACCCAACTGTGGATTTTAGCTGGTCTGGACAAGGCATGGTGCACAGACAAGGGAATTGGGGGATGCTGGCAAGAGGAAGTCCACATTCATGAATCTCTATCCCACCCATATAGGAGTTCTCAGCTCCAGGAAGCTAGGGTATGCCCTCACCTCTCCAGGTATGATAGAGAGTCAGAACAGAATGGGGGGCATGCTGCTGGGTAGACCTTGGGCATCCCAAGGCTCTAAGGGAGTAGAAGCAGGGAGGCTTTACCACAGCCTCTCCTACCAACCAAGCCCAACTTCTGGAAGTTCCCCTGAAGCAGGATGTAGGCATTCCCCTGCAGTTTTGGGACTTGATCCTTCCTCCCTACCCCTGTTCATCTCCCATCTACCCTGAGTCTGGGCTGCTCTCTGACCACACCTTGGAAAAGGGTTTCTGCTGACAGTAGTAGCAGTAGTTATGGCAATGTCCACCAGATGGCAGCCCTAAGACCCAGGACAGCAGCTGCCAAGGCAGGAGGCAGCACTAGGTGAGGAAATACCTCTGGAAAGGTCAGCTTGACCAATGGAGGATGACAAGGAGTTGGTGGAGATGGGGTCTTGCTGAGGTGGGAGCCCTTAACCTCAGTGGGATCAGAGGACAAAACCATCTCACACATCAAACTCTACATGGTACCATTCTCAAATGGAATCATCTCAGAAGCGCTGGGAACCCAGAAAGTGTGGACAGTAGGACCCAGGAGGGGAGGTTACAGCCAGCCTGACTTCTGTGGCCCTGTCCCAACTAAACTGAAGTGCAGCCAGCCTGTCAGAGTTCCTCTTCCCAGGCTCAAATCCATTGCCTCCCAATCCCTCTCTCACGGCTGAGACACCCTGAGAAGCAGTCAAGATGGGAACTACTGTTGCACTATGATCAGTGGGGCCCAGCAAAGCCCAGTGTCATTTTCTGCAAACCTGCAAGATTGAGTGTTTGGGCCCAGTCTACTCCAGGATCCAAATCCTCCCACAAGCCTGCTCCTTACTCCCCAACCCCCACTGTGGAATGAGCTATCCAGAGACATAAATAGGTACTAACATTAGGGAGACTTGTAGCTTCAATCCCAGACTTGCCAGTGGGTCCCCAGCCTGAAACCTCTCCAAGCCCTTTGTCCCCCCACGTACACTTTGAGTATGGTTTTGCACTATTCACTGAGGCTGGACTGAACACTTCAGGACCATGGTGTGCAAAGGGTGTAGAGTACTGCATTACCACCAAGCAACAGGCAACTTCCCCAAAGACACAGGACTCTGGCCCTTTAAGAACCCTGAGCCCAAGAGTAGAGCTGGCAGAACCAGGCTCTGAAGGACAGCCAGGCTTCCTTTAACCCCGCTGCCTCAATCAGAGTCCTAGGAAAATATCTGCACTTCGTGTCTCTTTGGCAGTTCTTGCCTAGGTGTCTTTGCTATAAGCTCCTCCCCAGGCTGGGATTCTGGAATGCTCCCCTGCTCTGGCTTCCAGCTGGGCCTGTAGGTCCTGATGACTTCCCAGCCCAAGCAGAGCCTTTTCTCCTGCTCTCAGGCTCCTTGAAGGCAAGATCGAGTTGACCCCATCAGTGAAAACCAATGTTTCTCCAAGTATAACTCCTGCTCCTGTTTCAGACACACTGAGCTAGAGACTGTGGGGACAGGGACCAGGGAACCAAGCTGACACCAAGCTCCCTGTGCTCTGAGAACCACAGCACAGGAGACTTCCATAAAGCCAGGCAAGGTTCTCACTAGCTCTGCAGCTTCCCCAGGGCAGCCCAGTCCAGGCTGGGTGAGTGGAAGTGTTCCTAGTTGGCATCAGAGTAGCCACTTTCTGCAGCAGCTGCCCAGGAAGTGGGCACACCACTGGTCTCCTGCCTGTCCTTCCACCTGGCCCCCTCCCTCCCTGCCAGCCTCTCCCCTTCCATACCCAACTTGCTGGCCTCCCCAGCCCCACTGTCTTCGTGTCTGTCTTCACATTTGTTTCAGGGCTGCCCCAGCCCAGCTTGTTTATCCTTCGGGGGTCCGAGTGGGTGTTTCAGCCCCAATTATGCTCTGACCACAGCCACCACAGATACCAAAACAAACGTCCTGGGCGTCAGTGGTGGGGGAGGCTCAGACAGGCTGGTGCCAGGGGGCCTGATAAAGGGGGATCCGCTTGGGCTTGGAGGTGATGAGAGCTGCTCCTAGTGATGGGGCCCTGGGGAGCAGAGGCTCGTGGGTAATTGGCCTCCTCAGCCAGGCTCAGGCCACAGAGGGGACAGTGTCTTGGCCTCAGCACCTCCCTTTCCATTTCCCAGTGTCCTCATGGTCTCATCTAACAGAAGTCTGGAGGGGGTAGGGGTGACTTGGGAAAACCATATCTCCCCAACTAGTGGCTAATTCTGGCCTCACTTCCAGAGGATGAAGATCTTGACTCTTCAACCCAGGCCTGCCCAGGAAGATGTTTTTATCCCCTCAGACCTGTGGTCAATATCCAGGAAAGAAGGGAAATATCAGGGATTCTAGACCCAACCTTGCTGGCCTATTTCTGTGACTTGAGTTGTAATTCCCTTGTACTGTTGTTCCTTGGTTTCCCATCTTTAGGTCAATTATTAGCAGAAAATAATTCCAGTTTGACTATACGAAAGGGAGAAAAATCCTGATCCTCTGAGCTCCCTGGGTTACCTAGAGAGGACACTAAAGTTCCTCAGGAGCAAGGGAAGCAGGAAATGGTTCTGCTCGGGGTGCTGGTGACAAGAGTGAGAGGCTCTGCTGGTGGGTGAGCCCCAAAGGACAGGACACCAGGCATTCAAGACTATGGGAATAGCATCACCAGCAGCTGTGGCAGGATCTAGGGAACCCAGCAGAAGCCGTGCTCATCACCCCTCCACTGTCTGTCCCCAGCTGGGAGGATCCACCCCCACTCACTGCTGCCCTCTCTGGCTTTTGTCTTTGCCTGATCTTATCCCATTCTTGGGATTCTGCTCTTTCCTGTAAAGGCCACCTCAGCTCTTCTGCTCATTGGCCTATCTCTGCAAGAGACCACACCTGGGAACATCTTTAATAATAATGATATTAGCAAGGTTCTGAAAACCAGGCCTCGTGTGTCATGCTGGATGCAAGGCAGGCAGAGGTAGTAGCCCCGCTTTAGAGAAGAGAAAGCTGAGACTCAGGGAGGGTAAGTCAGTTGTGCAAAGCCATAACACCAGGAAGTGGTAGGCAGTGGTAGAATCGGATTCAAACCCAATGAAGCCTGACTTCCCAAGGCTTTTGCACCAGGCTCCAGATCCCGTAGAGAGTGGTTTGCTCTGCATTTGCTGAACTAGCCAGCCTCTTGAAAGTTTAGGGTCATGGCTTCTGTGGGGACTTCTTTGTCTTCAGTTCTGATACTTATGGTCAAAGAGACCTTTTGGCCATTCAGGACTCCGGAGCTTCAGAATCCCACTGGAGACCTGGGGAATCCAACTCAGTCTGAGCTAAATTGGACAAAGAGCATTAGCTTCTGTTCTACACTGGTGGGAGCAAACTTTCACATCCTGAGCTTTGACTCTGCTGCAGGCATGTGGGGCCCTGGTTTCCTGGCTGCCTTTAAGAGGATCTCCGTGAGGATGAGTTTCTCTTCTGATCTCTGCTCTGCCCTTTCTTGTTCATTCAACCCTGGCTTACAACCAAATATAGGCAGCCTCTGCTCTGGGGCTGGGCTCACAACATGGTGGGTGGAGGAATGCAAGGTGGCTATTAGCCCCTGATATCTGCTTTCCAGCCTCCTCTGTTCTAGGCATACAACCACTGTCAATATGGTGGGGCAGGGCAAGTGGCCTCTGAGAAGGAGGGAAGCCACCAGGGGCTCATGTGGGTGAATGTGGGTACTTCTGGGCCTGTGTGATTATGCTGGAGATGGGGCTGTGTCAGTCTGGGACTGTGTGGAAGCGTGTGCTCATGAGGTGGGGCCAGGCTGTGTTGTGCACTAGTAAGAGTGTGAACATGTGAGTCTCTAAAAGAATGAATGCGACTAAGCAATTGTCCTAGCAGTGTAAGCATGTGTGGCATGGGTATCCAGGAGTGTAATTATTGTACTTAGGTGTGAAAGCTCAAAGATGAGTGCAAAGAGTCTTGGCTTGTCAGTGTCTTAGAAGGAAAATCACAGAAGGGTCAGAGGCCAGTCTGTGCTCTGCTGTGGACAACTCTGTGGCTTTGGTTGTGTTACTTCTCTGAGTATCTGTAGCTGCAAATGGGAACACAGCCCCTCCCAGGGTTATCATGAAGACCGAGGGCAGTGGTGTGGTGGGGAGCACTTTGTAATCCATCCACTGTAGGTCCCTGGGAAGGTCAATGAGCTCTTTTCATCATCTGCTTCTCTCCCACACTTCCACCCGCCAACATGCTCATGCCTTAGCCAGGTGCCACACCAGAGTAGGGTGACACCCCCAAGCTTCAGCCTGTACAACAAAACTTGGGGTCCCAAGTTTAGGAGGATTTACTAGGGAGGGGGAGAGTGAACAAGTATAGCTGTCACATCTGTCTACATGGCTCCATAGGTTTGCCCTGAGGCTGACCCTGCCCCCAGCACCAACCCATGTGTACCTCTTTGCTCTGCTCCAGATCTGAAGGGCTGCTCCCCCACCTCACCAGTGCCTCACATTGTGGAATCTGCTGTCTCCATCCTCCATGAGGCGGAGGCCCACGAGCAGAGGCTGTCACTTGATGCTGAAGACGGCAATGATGAGTCTCAATAACAGCACGGCCTCTTACCCTGGTGAGCATGACTTGAACCTCTACTTTGTTGCATGCTTGCCAATGGAGGGAACTATATCTAAGAAAAGTGACAGAGCAGCCTGGGAGCTGAGGAGGAGCAATTGGGTTAGAGGATGCTAAGCTAGCAGCCAGCTGCAAACAGGGAGATCCAAGGCCCCAGAGGGGGAAAACGGGCTGAATATTCTTGAGTGGTTGGTCTGAGAGAGCTTGTTGTGGGGAAGGGGCATCTGGGTTCAAGTGGTATGGACCAAAGTGCTGAGCAGAGATTCGGGAGGGAGCATGGGGGAGACCTGTGGGGGACAGTTCACTACAAGTCAACCAAATAAGATCCAAGAGCTAGTATGTTTCTCAGACCCAGATTTCCCTTAATCTGGGCTTCCTTATTTGGAAGGAAGCCAGAGAGGCATAAAGTAGAGAACCAAGGTACTCAGAAGACCAAGTTCACATCTTGGCAACTGCTGACAAGGTCAAGGAGATGAGTGAGAGCTAACAATGTGCTAGGCACCAACTAAGGACTATACATGTATTATCTTAATATGTGTTTACCTCATCACCTTGAGATAGATTCTCTCATTATCTCTGTTACAGATGAAGAAGCAGAGGAAAAGATGTTATGTAACTTACCCAACATCACTGGGCTAGAAATCAGAACTGGAGTCCTGGTGCACGTGATTCTAGTGTGTATCTAGCATCTGCTCTGCTCTGCCTCTCGTGGTCTTCAGTACCAGCCCAAGGCCTCAATTAAGTCCTCTACCTGGAAATAGCCTCATTGAATTCTTTCCAAAGCAAATTTCAGGTCAGGGTAAGGCTCATGCCCAGAAAAACTGAGGCAAGAAACAGGAACCCCAGAGGGATTTAGCTGCAGTGGGAAGAATTAGGGCTGGAGGATCAAAAGGACTGAGTTTCAATTTCACTCTGCCTCTCGTTAGCAAGTGAATTTGGCCAACTCTTTAACCTCTCTGAGCCTCAGTTTCTTCATCTGGGACATGGGTATGGTAGCAGAAGCTACATGTCATAGGTTACGAGGCACAAATGAGGAGACATACAAGCAGGATTTGTCAAATGCAAATGATTGTCTAGTGTAAGATTATTGGGGCCTGTAGTCACTCAATATTTGTTATGAATTTTAGGAGGTGAGTACAGAGACTGTGGTTACATCCAGGAGGTCCTGGACCTGGACTTGTCCCTGAAATGACAAATTATAAGTCAAATGAGAGTATGATCAACTTGCCACCCACTGCCTTCTGTTAACATTTTGTGATCTTTCTATAGCTATGACTTGGGCCTCAGACCATCTTTCCTTATCTCTGTAAAATGAGGGACTCTAGCCCCACCAATTTTAATATTGGGGCTGAAATACTAGGCAAGTCCTTGTGACTTTTGCTAATATAGAAGTGCAGTCCAGAAGGGCCCCTTTTCTTCATGCAATGGGTAAAACTTAGTGTCTTGAGTTTGTCCATGTCAGGTTTCACTGCTGAACCCTTTATTAATTCATTCAATACACACATTTATTAAAGTTTATCTTAAAATTAAAAAGCAAGCTGTGTATTCTTGCTATAAGAAATACAGATGAGGGCTGGGGATGTGGCTCAAGCAGTAACGCGCTCGCCTGGCATGCGTGCGGCCCGGGTTCGATCCTCAGCACCACATACCAACAAAGATGTTGTGTCCGCCGAGAACAACTAAAAAATAAATATTAAAAATTCTCTCTCTCCTCTCTCACTCTCTCTTTAAAAAAAAAAAGAAAGAAAGAAATACAGATGAGTTGGGTTAGGTGGCAGTCACCTCCTGTAACTCAGGAGGCTGGGGCAGAGGATCACAAGTTCAAGACCAGCTTGGGCACTTACTGAGATCCTGTCTCAAAATAAAAAAATAAAAAATAAAAGGACTGGGGACATAGCTCAGTGGCAGAGCACCCCTGGGTTCAATCCCCAATATTGGGGAAAAAAACCATGTAGGGGTTGGGGATGTGGCTCAAGCGGTAGAGTGCTCGCCTGGCATGCGCAGGGCACTGGGTTCGATCCTCAGCACCACATACAAATAAAATAAACGATGTTGGGTCCACCGAAAAATAAAAAATAAAAATAAAAACCATGTAGATCTACCCCATTATGTCGAATTGCTACACATTAAATATTTTGTAGCAGGGAAGTACCATTGTTCATTTAGCCATTCTGACCAGTGGATTGTTGGGTTGCTTCTAATTTTTCATTGTTATAAATAATGCTTAGTGAACTCCCTAGTATGTGGTTCTGTGGGCAGACGTAGCTATTTCGTTAGGATAATGGATATGTAGAAATGAGTTGCTAGGATGAGGAAAGGCATCATTAATTTTAATAGAAATGGCTGAAACACCTTCCAAGAAGACCAAACAAATTCATGTTGTTTCCAAGAAAGGAGAAAATAACCAGCTTACAGATACTCTCTCCCACATTGGATCCAGTTGATGTTTTGAATTTTTTCTAAGCGAATGGACCAAGCAAGAATAAATCTTATGTTTCTTTTAATTTGCATTTCTCTAATTGTGATTGCATTTCTCTCACAGTGAATATATTTTCCTAAGTTCATAGGACATCTTGTATTTCTGTTTCTGTAAATTGCCTGTTCATATACTTTGCCCATTTTTTTACTACGTTTTAAAAATCTTTTTCTTATTGGTGTGTTGCAATTCTTAATCCTGGATGTTTATAGTTGTTATTCTTTAGTTGCTCATCTTTCAATATCATTTATGATCTTTTATGTCACAGCAGTTTTAAATTTAGATGTAGTATATTTGTCAACATTTTCCTTTATGGCTTCTATGGTTACTGTCTTATTTTTAAACAGCCTTTTCTAATCTGAAATTACTTAATTTTAGCTTCCATTTTCTTCTAACATTTTAAATCAGTTCTTTATTTTTTTTTGGAATTTACTTTGTAAATGGTGTGGGAGAAATAATCCTTTTGTGGGGCTGGGGATGTAGTTTAGTGGTAGAGTACTTGCCTAGCATGCTCAAGGCTCTAGCATCAAAAATTTGATCCCTAGCATCAAAAATATAATAATAATTCTTTTCATAAATTAAAGCTTGGAAATGCCACACCATCACAGGTGTCTGGACTATGATGAAGCTGATTTGCTAATACCAAGGCATGCTGTATTTGTCTTCATGATTCAGAAGTGGGAGAATTTGTAAGCTATGGTGGGTGTCAGGTGAGGTGAAGGGAGGTGAAGGAAGTGACTTAGGGGAACCCTCACAAGGATGAGTGAAGGTAAATGGGCACTCCGGCCTTCACTCCCTTTCTCACCCCTTGATATGAAAATGGCTTCAGTCAAAGAGAGCGGTAGGTGATCCCCAAGCGGTCCATCCAGGGGTGCACCTGGTGTACAAGACCTTCTGCCTGCTTGTCACATCTCTCCCCACCTACAACTAACATGTTAGTCCCTGGGAGGCAGAGACTGTGTTCTCTTCATTTTTGTCTCCGTCACACCTAAGACAGAGCCAATGCCCTTGAATGAATACATGTCCATACTTCTGTGTGCTCAGGCTGGTGTGTGAGGGATGTGCCTCTGTACTGTCCTATGGTCTCTGATTCCCAGTCCAATGCTAAGCACTCAAGAGAAAGAAATGGGAAGTCCAACAAATGTCTACTCTGACCATGATGGAGCTATGGGACTTCAAAGGTAGCAGGTCTAGATAAAAGTGAGTGGACATGATCCTGAAAGTGACAGGGACCTGGGGAGGCCCTTTAAACCTGTCATGTTTGAAGGAGGACCTGAATAGCTGACACCCCTGTGGCCAACCATTTGGGAAAAGTATGGCTGGGACTTTGCAATTCATTTCTCCTAAGGCTCCAACCCTTGGAGGGACTGAGCATTGTCCCCAGATTCTGTTGCAAAAAGGAGTTAAGGACACATCTGGGGACCTTCTGAAAACTTTTCTAGGAGGGGCCACAGCAGGGGCATGGATCTTCTAGAGCCTCCCCTCTACATCAGGAGCTAGGAATAGTACTCTCCTTGTCCCTTTCCTGATCCTGAGTCCCTGACTGAGAGGTACTGTTAAGACTGAAGCCTGTCTGCTGCAGGCCTCCTCAAGCCTGATGTGGTCTTGTGGACTGTCCCAGGCCAATATGGACCCTGCAGCAGTCTCTGTCAGTTCCCAGGTCACTCCCTGCCCTCCTCCTCAGCAGGGCTCAACTTGGCAGTCCCCTTCTAGATTGTTTCTCAAGAAGATTTCATTTTCCAACACACCCTCATTCTACTTTAAAAAGCACAGAGTGGGGGCTGTGGTTGTGGCTCAGTGGTAGAACACTTGCCTAACATGGGTTTGATTTCAGCACCACATATAAATAAATAAATGTTCATTGAAAACTAAAAAAATACATTTAAAAAAGAAAAAGCACAGAGTAGTAGAGTCCTGGCTCTGAGAGAGAGGGAGCCTCCTGACCATAATTGTGCCAGCATGGATGGAGGAGGCAGTGGGTCTTAGGGCAGGGGAAGTGGAGGATACAGGTTCTAGGTCAGGAAGACTAGCATCTGACTGACTTTTGGGAGCTATCCCTACTTTTAAGAGTTTCCTTAATTCTAAAACAAGGAGAATAGGACTTCGTTCCAAGTATTAGAAGCCATGTATAATGTCTAATATGACTTGCTTACCAGTGCATTGACAATTTCCAGAAGAGTGTACATATATAAAGCATGACCGTGGTTACCTTTCAGGGTTGGAGGTGGAGCTCAGTAGTAGGCAGTGAGGCTCAGGGTTCCATACTAGCACCAAAAAAAATCAAAAACAAAAACAATGGTTACCTCTGGAAATGGAATAACAGGAGGAAGGAAGACTTTCACTTTTCACTTTGTTGTCCTTTGTACCATTTTAATTTTACTATGAAGCATTTTCTACATTCATTTAAAGAAAGGAAGGAGGGCTGGAGTTGTGGCTCAGTGATAGAGTGCTCACCTAGTGCATGTGGGGCACTGGGTTTGATTCTCAGCACCACATAAAAAAACAAGTAAATGGAATAAAGGTATTGTGTCCATCTACAACTAAAAAATATTTAAAACAAAGGAAGGAGAGAGATGAAACAATGAACCACTACTAGACAAGAAGCTAAGCCTCATCTGAGTCAACAAATTGTAGCTTTAATTGTTATTAAATGTAACAACCCTCCTCCCTGGGGGGCATTGTGTCTAGGTGTGAAAGTGATTTGTAAATAAATTGCTGCATAATGCTAGTTATGATTAACATCTAGGTATGTCTGCCCAATTATATAAGTGAGCCAGCTTGTCCTAAATAGTAGGTGCATATATCCTTAAGGGTGATTATGTGAATGTTGCAGGGTGGCAGTTCAGACTCAGTAGCCACACCTGGGTTTAAGTCCTGAACACACTGTTTGCTGTACCAGTGATCTCCACCAATGTACTTAACCTCTCTGGGCCTCATTCTTCCAGTCTTTACAGAGGGAATACAGACTATATCTACTCCAGAGCATTGATATGAAGGTTAAAATGAACCATGATTATGTAAAACTCTTGAACAACCCTAGTGCATTGTAAGGGTTTAACAATTATTTTTTTGTCTGTGTCTCTGATGCACAGCTGTTGATGTTTCTCACCCGTCAAAAAGGAGGAACACTGTCTTGGCTTTTCTTCCAAGGCTGTGAGATGGCTGTGTAGGGTATGCCAGTTCTTTCAGTCTATTAATAGACGCTTACTTCAGGAGTCTAAGGTGCTTGAGGAGACCAGAGTTGCGCTTTGTGGATGGTCCAGAGCCAGGGCCTATCCTCACAGGGAACCCAGGGGAGAAAAGGGTGACACATGAGCTATCATCCTTTCCAGGCTTCCAGGATAGTCCTGAGAGTTGCAATGTCCTGATTAACTCAGATAAAATGTCAGTTGAGCCAGGAGGGAGTCATTTAGGTGGGGGCGGGCAGAAGTAGATCACTCTCAAGAGTTCAGCCCTACAGGAGAGACCAGAGGGAGGGGGTTCTGCAAGGCAAGACCAGAGAGAAGTATCAAGGCAACTTCAGTGTCCTATTTGATGGCATTTCCTACCCATCCCATCTCTGGGAGGCACCTCTGGGAGATGCTGGGCTGCCAAGCAGGTTGAGCAGGTTTGGGAGAGGGTGGGAGGGGCCCTGATTGGGGGAGGAACCTGGATTTGGGTGCCAAGGCAGGCGTCAGCCTGGCAAGGGGAGTGAATGTGTTCATAGCTGGAGCCCAGCCTAGAGGAAGATGAGGGAGCTGACAAGCTGACCCTCCCTCATCTAGGCTTAGCCCCCTTTCCATTATAGACTCTATGTCTCAAAGACCTGTAGAAATCAGAAGTTCTGAGCCCCAAACTGGAACAAATGGTTCGGCAAATGTTTGTAGGAGTCAAAGGATGACACAATCTGAAATGGGATAAACTTTGGGGAATTGGCCTTCCTAGCAGTTCTAGTGTGTTCCTCAATCTTGGGACACCTAGGTACAAGGCTTTCTTCCTAGGAGAGTCTGGATACTGGGTCTGAACTGTGTTCTGAATGTGCTTGCTGAGAACAGTTGGGAAGTGCAAAACCCCTTCATGGAGCATGAGTACACACATCCATGAGATCCCTTACCTGGGCTCAGGTGCGAAGTTGATTAACGGAGCACAATTATACACAATCACATACATCATTCGTGGGCACATGCACACAGTTGTGTACACACAGATAC